GAGACTGTAGATCACACACCTGCGCCTCCACTGTACAGGTGAGAGACTGTAGATCACACACCTGCGCCTCCACTGTACAGGTGAGAGACTGTAGATCACACACCTGCGCCTCCTCTGTACAGGTGAGAGACCGTAGATCACACACCTGCGCCTCCTCTGTACAGGTGAGAGACTGTAGATCACACACCTGCGCCTCCTCTGTACAGGGGAGAGACTGTAGATCACACACCTGCGCCTCCACTGTACAGGTGAGAGACTGTAGATCACACACCTGCGCCTCCACTGTACAGGTGAGAGACTGTAGATCACACACCTGCGCCTCCTCTGTACAGGTGAGAGACCGTAGATCACACACCTGCGCCTCCTCTGTACAGGTGAGAGACCGTAGATCACACACCTGCGCCTCCTCTGTACAGGTGAGAGACCGTAGATCACACACCTGCGCCTCCTCTGTACAGGGGAGAGACCGTAGATCACACGTCTGCGCCTCCTCTGTACAGGTGAGAGACCGTAGATCACACACACCTGCGCCTCCTCTGTACAGGGGAGAGACCGTAGATCACATGTCTGCGCCTCCTCTGTACAGGGGAGAGACTGTAGATCACACACCTGCGCCTCCTCTGTACAGGGGAGAGACCGTAGATCACACGTCTGCGCCTCCTCTGTACAGGGGAGAGACCGTAGATCACACACCTGTGCCTCCTCTGTACAGGTGAGAGACCGTAGATCACACACACCTGCGCCTCCTCTGTACAGGGGAGAGACCGTAGATCACATGTCTGCGCCTCCACTGTACAGGGGAGAGACTGTAGATCACACACCTGCGCCTCCTCTGTACAGGGGAGAGACTGTAGATCACACACCTGCGCCTCCTCTGTACAGGTGAGAGACCGTAGATCACACACCTGCGCCTCCTCTGTACAGGGGAGAGACCGTAGATCACACACCTGCGCCTCCTCTGTACAGGGGAGAGACTGTAGATCACACACCTGCGCCTCCTCTGTACAGGGGAGAGACTGTAGATCACACACCTGCGCCTCCTCTGTACAGGTGAGAGACCGTAGATCACACACCTGCGCCTCCTCTGTACAGGTGAGAGACCGTAGATCACACACCTGCGCCTCCTCTGTACAGGTGAGAGACTGTAGATCACACACCTGCGCCTCCTCTGTACAGGTGAGAGACCGTAGATCACACACCTGCGCCTCCTCTGTACAGGGGAGAGACTGTAGATCACACACCTGCGCCTCCTCTGTACAGGTGAGAGACCGTAGATCACACACCTGCGCCTCCTCTGTACAGGGGAGAGACCTCCTCTGTACAGGGGAGAGACCGTAGATCACACACCTGCGCCTCCACTGTACAGGTGAGAGACTGTAGATCACACACCTGCGCCTCCTCTGTACAGGGGAGAGACTGTAGATCACACACCTGCGCCTCCTCTGTACAGGGGAGAGACTGTAGATCACACACCTGCGCCTCCTCTGTACAGGGGAGAGACCGTAGATCACACACCTGCGCCTCCTCTGTACAGGGGAGAGACTGTAGATCACACACCTGCGCCTCCTCTGTACAGGGGAGAGACTGTAGATCACACACCTGCGCCTCCTCTGTACAGGTGAGAGACCGTAGATCACACACCTGCGCCTCCTCTGTACAGGGGAGAGACCTCCTCTGTACAGGGGAGAGACCGTAGATCACACACCTGCGCCTCCACTGTACAGGTGAGAGACTGTAGATCACACACCTGCGCCTCCTCTGTACAGGGGAGAGACTGTAGATCACACACCTGCGCCTCCTCTGTACAGGGGAGAGACTGTAGATCACACACCTGCGCCTCCTCTGTACAGGGGAGAGACCGTAGATCACACACCTGCGCCTCCTCTGTACAGGGGAGAGACTGTAGATCACACACCTGCGCCTCCTCTGTACAGGGGAGAGACCGTAGATCACACACCTGCGCCTCCTCTGTACAGGGGAGAGACTGTAGATCACACACCTGCGCCTCCTCTGTACAGGTGAGAGACTGTAGATCACACACCTGCGCCTCACACACCTGCGCCTCCTCTGTACAGGGGAGAGACCGTAGATCACACACCTGCACCTCCTCTGTACAGGGGAGAGACCGTAGATCACACACCTGCGCCTCCTCTGTACAGGGGAGAGACCGTAGATCACACACCTGCGCCTCCACTGTACAGGTGAGAGACTGTAGATCACACACCTGCGCCTCCTCTGTACATGAGTGAGTAAGTAAGCGAGTGAGTGTGTGTTCAGGGTGGGGTTCCTCTAATGCTGATGAGATGCCGCAGTGAATGCGATGACTCAGTCTCTCTCTCTCTGCGCTCTCTCTTTCTCTCTCTTTCTCTCTCTCTCTCTCTCTGATGGAGTCGGTGACTCAGTCTCTCTCTCTGCTCTCTCTCTCTCTCTCTCTCTCTCTGTCTGATGGAGTCGGTGACTCAGTCTCTCTCTCTGCTCTCTCTCTCTCTCTCTCTCTCTCTGTCTGATGGAGTGGGTGACTCAGACTCTTCTCTCTCTGCTCTCTCTATATTTAGCGCTCTCATCTTCAGCTCTGCTCCGTTGGATGGAAACCTGTTTACACTTTCCTCTCGCAATATACGGAAATTGCAAATGCAAAGCCATCAAATCACAATGTGTTACGAGAACGCCGCTTAATGAATCTATCGCAGATCACACTGATGCGTACAGCCGTGATTGATCGAGATACAAAGGATCATTTGTATGAAGAAAATGCCTATCTTTAGACTATACTAAGTATTTGCAGTAAAATGTGCTAAAACTTTATAATAACATTTTCATCATATTACAGTGATAATTTTTTCGGACAGTTTTTATTATTAAAATGAACAAATACTAACATGCTGCGTAAGTACATTTACAAAATATATATTTATATTTCTCTCTCCCCCTCTCTCTCTCTCTCTCTCCCCCCCTCTCTCTCTCTCTCTCCCCCCTCTCTCTCTCTCTCTCTCCCCCTCTCTCTCTCTCTCTCTCTCTCTCCCCCCTCCCTCTCTCTCTCTCTCTCTCCCCCCTCCCTCTCTCTCTCTCTCTCCCCCCTCCCTCTCTCTCTCTCTCTCTCTCTCTCTCCGCAGGTTTATGTTGTTTCCCAGAAGTCGATACTGAGCGCTGTCCCCGTCGCACACCTCTGCCATGATGATGATGATGATGATGATGATGAAGAACTCAAACACACGGTGCCAGGACACTGGTTCCTCTCGTCTGGACTGACTTGACGTGAGAACGCTGTTAGAGAGTGGAGATGTTTCCCACAATCCTCCTCTGTCGCCGAGGATCATCCGTTCGGTCTCTCCTCGACCCGATCAGCACCCGAAGACCTTCCGTTTAGTTTTAGACCGTCTTTTAATTTACCGTTACTCCCTGCAGCTTCAGATGCAGATGTTTGATGTAAAGGGTGACATCAGTTATTGTAGAGCGCATAAGCTGCGGATGATGATGATGATGATGAATATACGATGTTAAACTATAAACTGCATGCTGGGACGCGTCTGGACGGAGAGCTGATCGCCACAGGACGTCTGGGTTCATTTTCCCCCATTTGGTTTGTTTTTCCCGATAAATGTTTTTTAAGTATTATTTATATAAAACACATCCCAACTGAAGCTGAGGCTCATGGTCCTTTATTTGCATGCGTGTCTGAGCGGTTTCGCTGTGGGGTTTCTGCTCTGGGAGGTGTCAGCGCACATGTCAAACACACAAGTCAACGTTTACTTGTTAATCATGTCGTTTCAGATTACGTTCACAATTCATTCCAAATACATGCATTTTCTTCTGCAAGTCAGCTTGCTTTATTTTCCTGAACAGAAAGAAAACGCACGTATATCCGTATATTAGACCCGTGCATTCGCTATATGCGATACAAGACGTGTTTCCATCACCCTTCAAATCGCGCAAATTGCGAATTGAAAATACGCACAATTGAAACGCATCAATTTCGCAAAAACACCCATTTATCGTAAAAGTTTGTACGCTCGCATGAGGAGGTTTTTCAGGCGGTTCGAAAAAGGAATATTTTGCAAAACTGCAAAGGAAACAGTTTTTGTGCATTTAGTCACCTGACGTAGACGGCGCGGTGTGTTTGGACATTTATATATAAACCTATCAACGACTGCCGCCATGATGTTTGGAATGATTATCGCGAGAGGAAAAAATTACATTTTAATCGCATAACGCCGTCATTTCGCAATAGTTTTTGATCAATATTTAGAAAAAATCGCAAAAGTTTTATGCAAATCTGTAATGGAACGTGCCTACAGATCATTTCAAAGCAGCTTCATGGTTAAAAAAGGTGGAAAATATCAGAATCGATGATGGGAACTTCATTAGAGTTGCAGTTTGGGAAAGTATGGAAAAATTGAGTTTTCAGACTATTTTCTCTATTCAGTTTTCTAAAGTATAAAAGTAAGAATTTCTAAACGCAAGTTTATAAGCAGAGCGTTTTCATCGCTAAAGTTACAGTGATTGTCGAACATGACCGGATGAATTCAAGTCGCACATGTTCATCACACAAAACTACACTGATTGCACTATATCAGATATAATGCTGTACTAACAGGGTCTAAAACTAACTTTTTACCACACCTGCCGGCTGTAATAGTTTTTACATTGATTAATCCTTATTAAAGTTACAAATGATTCAGTCAAGAGCAGTGAGTGATTTTTCTTTGTCTTTTGTTGTTTGATTAACTTTAAAATCACCGTAGGAATATTAGGCTACTGTCACTTTAAGAGCGAATGCACGGATCTAATATACTGACACGTGCGTTTACTTTCTCAACTGTTTACATGTACGTAAGACATGACTATACAAGAATACTTGCTGGGTGTTTTGACATAATTTTGTGTGAATCTGTCCATTCAAGCACAAAAAGACGTTCATGTTTACGTTCTCACAATATTGCATGTTTAGCACTGATTAGAACTGGCGATTGACATCGTGTGGTATATCCGCCAGAGTGTTAGTTTTATGCCCTGTATATGAAACATTAATGTTTTGCTGTGTTCACGCCATGTCGGAAAACCCTAATTTCAAGATGACAGCCAGTGACAGAACTGGGAATTATGGGAATCTGCAGCGGTCACATGGTGCAAGTAGGAGCGCTCTGAAAATTCCCAGTTTACAAGTTCTGTGAGGATGTGAGCGCTTTTGGAATCTCATAATTACGGCGTCGCCTGAGCGCACTTCTAACCCGCTGGTGCTCCTCGGTCACTTCTGACCGAATATTTTTACATTTGATTTTTCTTTATCTGAATGGTATGAAACTTGGTAAAGGTTTTGGCACTTGCTGTGAACACACACACACACACAGCATGGACATGATTCGAAAAGGTTAAATGGTCCTGTAAACAATAGTCACAATGACGCATTGGAAATGAATGAGAGACGAGTTTCCTCTAGTGGAAGCGTTTGGAACTGCAGCCGAACAACATCTCACTGGAAGTGTTTTTTTTTTATATATCAAGCTCAATTTTAACAGAACTTGTTTAGATTTATTGCTTTGATTTTCTCACAGTTTTAGAGTAAACCATGTTTTTGAAAATATACATTTCATATAAAAATTTAAAGTAGTATTTTTTTTATAGAATATTTTTCATAACAATAAATGTAAAATTCTGTAACTTAAGTTCATTTTTTATAAAACCAGCTGAGCCAGCTGTCAATCATACTCCGCGCAGACCGGCGCGGTCATTGTTGATGTGCCGGAGCGCTGTCTATGAGCAGAATGGCGTCTAAGCGATTGTGGTGTTCTGTTCTTGGGTGTAATAACGAACACAGTAATTTTAATGTTCCTAAATCCGAACCGCTGAAGACGCAGTGGCTGAGTTTGTTTTCGAAGGGAATATTCCCCACGAGCAACGTCACTGCTCTCATGTGTGCGCGAATCATTTCTCAGCAGACTGCTTTATAAACGAGGGTCAGTATAAAGCTGGATTTGCTAAGAAGCAGCTCATGAATAAAGGATCGGTACCAGATATTCGTGTTCCTGCTGAACCTCCAGAAGAACTGAAGTGAGTGAAACGTTTTATTAAACTTTATATTAATATATTAATCTTTGCAAATCGCTAGCTGCACGCTTCACAATGAATGCGTCTAAGGTTTACACTCAGGGTACATTACGGCATGTTTTCTATGTACGACGTTCTCAATATAAAATCTATTATCCCATGTCTATAATGAACAACGCGTTATGGTTATTGTGTTACAAACGGTGTAACTTATGCACAGAACAGAGAGGCGGAGTCAGCAAAGCTCATTATCATTTAAAGTCATATGCACTGAAACGGCGTGCTGAAAACAGAGCTGTTTTTGACCAGGTAAAATAAGTGTTTTCTTACAATACTAATGAGAATTTTAAATTAAAGTATATTACAAACTTTTCATTTAGACCCTAAAGAATCATATTAGCTTGTACAAAAATGGCATTATGACCCCTTTAAGAAGAGTTCAAACTTCAGTCTGTCGCTCTAAAGCATTCAAGATTCACCACAGTTTAAGTTGGAAAATTAATTTTCAGGTCTATGCTCAAAAAGTGAATAAATGGATTATAAATACTGCGTAAATATAATTTAGTGCTGTAAAATCCCCTAAAAAATATTAATATTAAATAAAATACATTATCGAACTAAAATTTAGTACATTCATTTCATTGAAATAAATAAAATAAAAATCGGGTAATTTTTTACCGACAAGCGAAGATCACTATACGATCTGAGGTTCGGAAATTTGAGTCTGGAATTTTGAAATTGAAAATGTGTAGGAAGCCTGTAAACACTATAATAGTATCTTATTATACTAAACCGGAGTTTGACGTGAGCAGCGGGAACATTCTGTGAAACATCTGACTGTGCAGTGTTAGTGGAGAATCCCTCGAGCACCGCAGTCTGCTGTTCAGTGTGTGTGTGTGTGTCATCATCAGTGTTTGTGTGTGTGTCGACTCAGTGACGCTCAAACCCTGAGCCTGTGATCTTCTTCCTCTGCACATCCTCGAGTCTTTAAGTGAGCCAGTATTCCCATGATCCATACACAAACAATCATTATGACTCTGGATTCTGATTGGATGAGCCGGGTTTGCCATAAATCTAAGCCAGCTGTGCTCCAGATGTGAGTCTGATCTCTCAGTGAATGATCTTCCAGTGAGATGTTGTTCGGCTGCAGTTCCAAACGCTTCCACTAGAGGAAACTCGTCTCTCATTCATTTCCAATGCGCTCGTTTCTGACCGCGAGGAGCACAAGTGACTATTGTTTACAGGACCGTTTAACCTGTTCACATCACGTTCGTGCATTTTTTTTTTTCACACAGCAAGTGCCAAAACCTTTACCAAGGTTTACACCATTCCGATGAAGAAAAAAATTCAACAAAAAAAGCGAAACTTGGCTTTTATTTCTATTTTGTGTTCTCAAACTCAGTGTTTTGAGAGATTCACTCAACAGGAAGTGATGTCACGCGTTTGTTGATGGATGACTGAGGCTGGTGGAAACCTCTTCTTTATTTGTAGAGCTGCAGGAAACTCTTCCATCACACGATTCATTCAAAGAATCTGCTATTCTTGTTGTGAGAGGAAAAGGCCAGACGGTCCCGGGTCATCTCTGGCGGGTGACCTCTGGCCTCTTACACGGCTGTTTCCATGGCAACGACCCCTTCACACCTCCAATAGCAGGAGTTCAGCTCCACAGGCAATCAGTTACAGCTCAGTTTTTATTTTTGCATTATGTAATACTTCATTTTGTGCGTTTCCTTTGATATATGTGATCGTTTCACTAAAACCCGTCATACGAATCTAACCGTTCCAACTACCCAGCATGCATCTGTCAGTGTGCTATAGGCCAGTAATTAAAGGTTAATGTAAAGATTTACCATGAGCATTTTCAAGGAATCTTTTCTGTTTACAAAACAATTGCAGATTTTTACAAATATTTTGAGTCATTGTTTAAATAAAAACATAATTTAATAATTTAACAAACATGTACGTCTCATTTGCTTTGTTATTTAAATCAGTCAACCTGATTTGTTCATGTTTTTGTCCCCCAATAAACATGATTTTTGCATAAAACCAACAAAATTACCTTTATTGCAGAGGAATCATAATTCAAAAATGACAATTCAGAGGGATGTAGATGTACACGTATATACAATTCTCTACAACCTGCGTTCTCCAATGCTAAACATGATCTGAATGTCACAGTACAACGATGGTCATAAATGTGTCGTGTATGATATGAAAACTGAGATATTGAGGCTGATATCCCAGACTGCAACATTGTTTTGGCCCAGATCCGGCCCGGGAAACACGGATTCCGGATGTGGGTCGACACTGTTGCTGTTTGGGATTCTTAGCATTAATGTTTTAGTAACGAGGACTTGTGATGTTCTGGATAGTGCATTGTGGGATATTATTCAGACACCAGATATCATTTTTGATATATTTTTTAGTAGTAGTTTTTCACAGTGGAAGTTCCTTTGACCGCAGATGTGTGTGTGTGTGTGTGTGTGTGTGTGTCTATAGAGTCCCTTACCAGATGAGATGAAGTGCATCCGTACGGCTCAAACTCTTATTATTTTTAAAGGTAAAGTTTGTAATTTCAGTCACTAAACAGACTCCCTAAAATAATGACTGTTTCCCGTGGGTCAGTGTACCAGGGACTTATACTCAACCCTGCGTTTTAAACCGGGTTACAAGAAAGTATATTAAAATCCAAAAATTACACGCCTCACCTAATTATTGCTACTGTTCCCAGCATGCATCACGCTTGTATTCATCTTGTTTCATGTTCTACTGAAGTATGGCATATTTCAAGAGAATCGTTCAAATTGGTATACAAGCATGGAATTTGGCACAGATACTCTCTTAGAGTCACTTTTTGGGAAAAAGGCATTGGACACCCAAAAATTCAACATGGCGGGCATTTTTTCAAGATGGCCGCTATTTCTGTCAAATGCCCATTTTGTCAATCGTTCAAACAGTGATGTAGGCATAACATTTTGTGAAAATACTCTTAAGAATGTTTTTTTTTTTGGAAAAGGTGCTTATCCCTCAAAAAATTCAAGATGGCAATAATTTTTTGAGATGGCCGCCATTTCTCTTGAATCCTTACATCTTTTTTTCAAATGGTGATGCTATCATGAAATTTGGTACAAATATTCTTCAAGGAACATTCTCATGGGAAAAAGGTGTGTGCCACTCAAATAAGCAAGATAATCAATAATCTTGAAAATGGGTTGATAAGAAAATAATCAACCCATTTTCAAGATGGCCACCATTTCTGTCAGAGCTCAGTTAAACCCTTTAAGTGTCATCCCCCCCCATATTTTGAATAGACATGAAAATGCACATTCCGAACTTAAATGGTTGTAATTCAAGAATGCTTTGGAATATAGACGTGAGATTGGTCTTGTTTTAAAGAAGATATTTGGCAGATTTTTGTAGAAATGGTTGAAATGGTGGCCATCTTGAATTTTTGAGGGACAAGAATCTTTTTTCATTAACATGTCCTTTAGAGAGTATTTGTATAACATTTTATGCTTGGATCACTGTTTGAATAATTGATATAAGCATTGAATAGCAATGGCGGGCATCTTGAAAAATGGCGGCCATATTGCATTTGAGTGGCCAACGTCTTTTTCCAAAATAGTGGCCCCTTAGAGAGTATCTGTGCCAAATTTCATGCTTGTATACCAAAGTGAAAATTTTTTTTTTTACTAATCTGCTGCACTGTCGTCACTTGTCTCAATGTGAGGTTTGCTCTTGTTCCTCAAAACCGGCACCGAACGACAAGCTTTACCACACAACCTGTCTGCAAACTATCACAGTCTTTTACCATTCTTTTTGAAAACATCTTTTAACATAATTTATTAAATTAGTTGTTATTTAAACAAATAAAATTCCAAATGGGGGGCCATTGTGCAATGTGACGAATGCTAACTATATTTTAGTTTTGTTTTGCATCAGTGATGTTAGCTTGAGGAGTTGTTTTGGACGCGATGATGACGTTAGTAGCCCAGCACCAGCACCCTGGAAAAGGAGTTCATGAAAACTTGACCTAAACTATTCTGTACAAGAACGATAACTATAACGATGACTATATGGGCATCCACACCAGCAGACAATATCATTCTGTTAAATATAAGTGCATGCTGCGGTTTTGTCGTATGCCGCTTTAAATGCTCGAGCTCTTTAAAGTCTGATTGGCTGTCAATGTTTTTATCAATGTTCAAAAAAACTCTGAAAGAGATTCCAGCAATATTGTTCCTCTGTGTCGATAGCGTTACAGTTGTGGTGTGACTGCTATTCTCCTAGAGTTATAGCGATAATTACAACTTTATGGTTATAGTTATCATTCTTGGTGTAGCCAGCACTTTATTCTTCAAGATCCGTTGAGGTGCGGCTTACGTACACAACACACTCCTGACCTCCTCTTTGAGTCCTCAGATTAGAGTAGATCCGATCATCCAGCATGGAGGCCAGTTTGTCTGATGGACTTGTGTCAGTATAGGTGTGATGCTTGTAGTCCGAATCAGGCATGAGAGTGTCTGTATGGGAATGCAAATGAGAAGTAAATGTGGTCATCATCGGCGGCCCGTCGCGGTCCACGACCTCCATCCGTGAATGTTTATGTGAGTCTGCGGGATTAGCAGTTGTCCTAAAGTCCTCCAGTATCCCACAATCCCTCGCACTGTTTTCCAGCGGTTGTGAGGAAAAGAAATGCCGGCTTGTGTTGTTGCTGCTGTTGTTCGCGTTTTCCTCCAGATCTGGACCAGAACTTCCAGCACCCGAGGGTGGACCAGCACCTTCCCGGTCCGGTCCGACTGTTTCCGGCTCGGGCGATTCTGTACCCGCCGCTCCTTCGCTTCCCTCCTCATCCGCTGCGCTAGCAATGCGAGGCAAGGTGCTATGATAGCGTGTGTCCAAGGGGAAGTTAGCGCTGTCGCCTCTGCGTAGCGGATAGCAGCGCTGTCGCTCCAGGGATGGCGAGTATCGGGCGGTTCCAGGATCGCTGTATTGTTTGCTACGCTGCCATTGCTTCCGGAGATGAATACGGGAACGGTGACGGTGACGTAATGAGGGTGACCCCTGCTGGTCGAACTGGGGATCATGCCGTAGGAATTTGTTGAACAGCGCCTCGGTCTTCTCATCGATGCTGTAGTCTCGTCGGCGGAAGCGAGGCCTGGGTTGCGTTTCTTGGGAAGCTTTCGCCTCGTCTTCCAGCTCCTCTTTAAAGAGTCGTGCCTCAAAACTCTCGCAAACTGTGCCTTTGCGGCCAGAATTGGTGAAAAAGCGTCTGCGTTCAGATGCGGTCTTCGCAGAGCCACTTCCGAAAAGCCTAAGTTCCTCGGGAGCCTTGCAAGGAGCCTCGATTGAGGCGTATCCGCTGTCCATTTGCAGGAGCTTCCGGTTGTTCGTCTCTCCTTCAGAATCTACACTGTCCCGTCTGTTTCTCCTCGACCCGGCGTCCCGGACCACATCGTCGTATGGCAGCTCACCGTCCCCATCCATGTCGTCATCGATGTCTTGCGACTGGTAATTGGGGACGCCTGATCTTGACGCTCCCGCTGAACAAACGCTGTCCGCGTCGCTGCGAGTGGAGTCTCTGTCGTTACTGCTCAGGTCCGAGGAGGCGTACTGTTCCAGCGAAGCTCTCAAACTCCAGATGTCCCGGTATAAGCTGGGCTGATCTAGACTCTCCTGACGACTCAGTGGACCGAACTCTCCTGAAGCTCCTGCCATCATCTCTTCCCTGTCCTCCATCTCCTGGGAGGAGGGGAACGCTGGAGTCGGGTCTTTGGTCACTGCATCTGTGTTGTGCTGGAGCTCCATTACAGCCTCTACCTCTAACCTGAAGGGGGGCAAAGACATGATGTCAATCGCCAGACAGAAAGGTAAACATTGTAATTAAAGGTGCATTGTGTAATATTTAGGAGGATCTGTTGACAGAAATGCAATATCATATACATAACTATGTGTTCAGTGGTGTATAAAGAGCTTACTTAATGAACCATTATGTTTTTATCAGCTTAGAATGAGCGTTTCTCTACACACACCGCGGGTCCGCTTACATCGACATGTTTCTACGGTGGCCCTGAACGGACAAACACGTTTCGTCACTATGTTGTTCTTCATGATAAGAAGCTGCTAAAGTCAGCGAATAAAACACTGACACAATGATGAACAAGTAACAATAATATTCGCAATTACATCGTTTTACTGAATTATTAAGTAAACCTAATTTCCCAATTTATCTTTGTAAAGAAACCTCATTGTTTAACTGGCTACTGTTACTGTCTCAGACGACGACATCACTTCCTGTCGGCCACCGTAACTTCTGTCGGGTGCGATTCTCAACCTCACCACTAGATGCCGCTAAAACTTACACACTGCACCTTTAAGTCTTATATTTGTAATAGAAGGAGATTATTCCAGACAAATTAATAATCAGAACTTTACAGAATCTTTCAAAGAATTTAGCAACAAGTTATATCAATTTGACAAAGATTTGCCTCCATATGCATTTGCTGAAGATTTGAGATGCATCGAGTTAGAGTTGTCAAAAAGTACTTCTAAAAACACTGTGTTGACGCACTCAACATATATATCTGTGATTGGCTACAATGATCAACACTTACTCTTCACTGAGTGCTTACACAGATACACACGGGAGCGTTTGAAAGCAGGCGTCTATATCAGCGGATCCCTAATATAGATCCGCTGATAGACGGATCCGCTGATAGATGGATCCGCTGATAGACACTCCCGGGTGTATCTGTGTAAGTGCTAGATGAAGAGCTTCAAACTGTCATTCTTCATCATTGTAGCCAATCACAGACATATATGTTGAGTTGTCAACACAATGGCCAATCAGAGCCGTTTAAGAATCCAATCAACAGTGCTCAAAATGCTAGAGGGAAATGCTGGTTTTGTAACATTTTTTAAATTTTAGTACCGACTTGGTACTGAAGTCGTTACTTTTGACAACTCTACATCGAGGATTGTTTTGGAATTGGACTGTGAACGGTAAGGTGCCTAAAGATCCCCTAAGTCCAACCCTTCTTCTGAAGGGTCAGTATATTTAGCTCTAACTCTAATTAAACACACCTGAACCATCTAATCACGGTTTTCAGGATTACTAGAAACATTCAGGCAAGTGTGTTTGGGTGGGTTTGATCTAAACTCACCTAATTCAGGGGTGTTCAATCCTGATCCTGGACTTTTGTGTATCTATGTAAGCGCTCAGTGAAGAGCATCAAAGATGTCATTGTTCATCATTGTAGCCAATCACAGACATGTATGTTGAGCACGTCAACACAATGGCCAATCAGAGGTGTTTAAGAATCTGTTCAACAGCGCTCAAAATGCTAGAGGGACGTCACATTTTAAAACATTTTAGTACCGACTTGGTACCGAAGTCGGTACTTTTGACGACTCTACATCGAGGATTGTTTTGGAATCGGACTGTGACTCCTGAAATTCAGATCTGGGCCGACACTATGTTGCTGTCTGGGAACCCTGCCCTAATCAGGGGTGTTCAATCCTGATCCTGGACTTTTGTTCCAACCTGCAGGATTGGACACCCTGCCCGAACTTCTGGGATATTTTGTCCGTACCTGCTGAGGGCCTGAGGAGCTCCTGCATTGACGTCCAGAGAACCGGCCGAGAGGCGTCTAGGCGGCTCCATCTGTGGCTGAGCGGGAGGGTTTTGCAACAGAAAGTCATCGACTCCACCCTGGAAGTTTTCTTCTCCCTGGTCCAGAGTCTCACTGGCCGCCCGCTGCCTCTGAAACACACGTCTCCGCGGAGAACCTAAAAGAATAGCAGGGATAACCAGGTAAGAACATGCACGGATGACTCTAGTTGACTTAAGCCGGTCCACACTGTGGGATTTTGGCTGTCTGAGACCAATTTTGCAAATACTAAAAGAATCCTCTGATCCTAGGCTAAAATCTGAAGTGTTTGATCTTTAGTTTGACATGTTCACCGACTGCCGATTAATGTCCGTTGCGATCAAATTTGACCTCCGACGAAATTCTGGCGGTGTCAGAAGATTTGACTCTCAGTCCTGCAGTGACTCTCCTACGACCACCGTCATATTGTCAAGCCATGAGTTAGAGATTTCCTTGTAGCCACCGTTTCAATCCCGCGTGTAATGCAGCCCACAGTTGTGATGATGTAAAACTCCGGACAAGTTTTCTTGCGTGCATCTGTTTTTCACGCGTCTTGACTGCCGTACAGTCTGACATGGATTACAGCGATGGGTAACACTTTACTTGAAGGGGGTGTGCATAAGACTGACATGACACCTTCATAATCATGACATGACACGTCATGAATATGAAGGAGGTTTTATGCATGTTTATGACAACTGTCATTAAGTGTCATTCACTCAATTATGACATTTTTAATGCAAATATGACATTGTTTGAGATGTCCTTGTTATGACAAATTGTCATAAATATGTCATAAACATGACATAGCAGATTAATTATCAAACTTAAGAAACCACTTAGCTTTATGGGTTAACATTAAATTAAACTGTCATGAGGTTGGTTTTGACATTGGCTGTCATGAGGCATTATAACTGTGTTATGAATATTTTTCTTGACCTCGACTACAGTGGTACAGATTGAATTTGTCATTAAAATGTTATAACGGCCTTATGACAGCCAATGTCAAAACCAACCTCATGACAGTTTAATGTAATGTTAACCCATAAAGCTAAGTGCTTTCTTAAGTTTGATCATTAATTCAATTGAATTTAATTAATAATTAATCTGCTATATAATGTTTATGACAGGTTGTATTGTCTTAGTAATGTCAAGTTGTCATGACAAAGACACTGAGAGATTATGATGTATGGTTTATGTCAAGTTGTCATAACAAAGACATCTCAAACAATGTCATATTTGCATTAAAAATGTCATAATTGAGCGAATGACACTTAATGACAGTTGTCATAAACATGCATAAACCCTCCTTCATATTCATGACATGTGTCATGTCATGATTATGAAGGTGTCATGTCAGTCTTATGCACACCCCTTCAAGTAAAGTGTTACCCAGCGATGGTCATGTCGTGCAGTCTGACAAGCAACAATCGTAAAGAACTATTAAAAATCGCACCGGCTTAACAATCACAGGCTGAGAGGAAACACAAGCTCTCATCATAACTACGAAGCAATCTTAGAAGTGACTGATTTTTATAACACTCTACATAGGCAGCATCTGAGGCATGTGACAGTGTTATATTAGTATTATTTATGTACTATTATAGTATTTAGCTATTATTTTCATTTTAATTTTAGTTTACGTTTTAGTAATTTTAGTTTACGTTTTAGTAATATCATTATTTATTTTTGTCATTTTAATTTTTTTTATTTAACAGTATTTTTTTTTTTTTTCAGTTTTACTCTTAGTAATTTTAGCACTTCAACTTTTGAAATATTTTTAAACTTAGCTTAAGTTTTTTTTAAAGTTTAAGTGTTTCATCTAATATTTATATTTTATTTCAGCTTCACTTCACTTCAGTTAACAGAAACATTACATTTTTAGTTAACAACCCAGAGGCCCAGGACCGGATCTGGGCCGACACTATGTTGCGGTCTCGAAATAACAATACTGTGAAATGCTAATAAACATTAAAAAGTGCATTACAATAGTCCATGTAAATTAGAACTATTTTTATCAGTGCATTTTGAAATATGACGATTGTTCTCACAGATCTTGTTCTTCAGGAGCGGACAAGTGAAGAATCTCTCCGGCCTCGCTCATGTAATGCACTCTAACTCTACAGCTGCACTGACCGACCTTCCACATCAGGTGAAGAATAATGCCATTATTTAATTTCATTTATCATATCATTCATTTATCAGGAAGCAGATTTGTCCTGCACTCTTGGTTGAAGTCTGTGAGCCAATCAGATCTCACAACAGTCACGTGACTTTAACTAGACTGAGCTTCTCGACCCGTATTGATCCGGTATTGATTCCTCTTCTCCAGGCTCATTCAGAGCTGAATAAAAGCTCTCATTGTTTAAGGAGAAAGCCTTTGAACTGTGTGATTTCTGAGCAATATTGCAGCTCATATCATGAGGAATCTTTATTGTTTAAGTTTTGAGAACTTTGAAACATCTTTCAGAAAACAAAACACTTATTAGAAATGAATTATTTAATAATTACATGGTATATCACCTCTCATATCAAGACTCGCTGCTCTCTGGACGGTGTCGAGTCTCCATTTCTTGACGCTGAAGAACGGACCCGCTCCCTCCAGGCTGGCGTGGCGTCTGAGCTTAGACAGGAAGTGGAACACGGTTCCCTGAGCTGGACAGGAAGTGACATCTCTGTCCATCAGCAGGCTTCTGCTCATCACCTCAATCTGGAGAGGAAAACCAGGAGTGAACAGATGGTGGAAGTGAAGATGGTCACAGGTAACATGGCTGAATCTCCGGCTCATATTACAATCCTTAATCAAACGTATTTAAGGGGGTTTAATGCCCCTTTTTGCAATATGTAAAATAAGTCTATGTTGTTCCCAAAGTGTGTATGTGAAGTTTTAGCTCTAAATACCCCACACATTTTTTTTACAGCATGTTAAAATTATCATTTTTTTAAGGGGGCAGTAAAAACGCGTCATTTTGTGTGTGTGCCTTTAAATGCAAATGAGCTGCTGCTCCGGGCACAGGGGGCGGAGCTTCAAGAGCTTGTGTGTGTGTGTGAATGTGAATTGAATTGGAATGGGCGTTACATTTCTGACATGCTCTAAGCGTTTGACCAATCACAACAGACCGGGCCAGTTGACCAATCCGAGCAAACTGGGCTTTTCAGAACGGCAGCTTTAAAAGTGGAGTATGTAGTTTCTGCGATACTAGCGGAATTACAAAAGTACAGCATATTTTGCAATGCCCCTTTCTCCAACTCAAACATCATAATCACAGCTCTCACGGCTGCTTGTGAAGTTATGTCTCAACAGGTAAATGTAGACTACTTTCAATAAGAGCTCCAACATATTGAGCAAGCAACGAGTAGCTAACACTCTTTCTAGAGTGAATACGAGCTTCTCGCCTGTAATAAACCAATCCATCGGATCTGCACCTGACGCACGACTGTTAGACTCTGTCTACTCTGGACACATCATTATAAACTGGAAAATTTGTCTTTCTGATGCAGTGTGGTACTGAAGAATCCATTTTAGGTCGTAGAATCTCAATGGACCTGATCATGACCTGTTTGAAGGTCTAACTGCTGTGAAATTCAGCTTGCACTTCTGGAACTAAAGATTAATATCTGCATATAACACATCAGTCAGCGGCTAAACATCCTCTAGCTCCGCCTGCTACAGTAGCCACACCCCAAACTCACAATCTGGTACAGTAGCCACACCCCAAACTCACAATCTGGTACAGTAGCCACACCCCAAACTCACAATCTGCTACAGTAGCCACACCCCAAACTCACAATCTGCTACAGTAGCCACACCCCAAACTCACAATCTGCTCCAGTAGCCACGCCCCAAACTCACAATCTGCTACAGTAGCCACGCCCCAAACTCTCCCTCTGCTACAGTAGCCACGCCCCTAACTCTCAGTCTGCTACAGTAGCCACGCCCCAAACTCTCCCTCTGCAACAGTAGCCACGCCCCTAACTCTCAATCTGCTACAATAGCCACGCCCCAAACTCTCCCTCTGCTACAGTAGCCACACCCCAAACTCACAATCTGCTACAGTAGCCACACCCCAAACTCTCCCTCAGCTACAGTAGCCACGCCCCTAACTCTCAGTCTGCTACAGTAGCCACGCCCCAAACTCTCCCTCTGCAACAGTAGCCACGCCCCTAACTCTCAATCTGCTACAATAGCCACGCCCCAAACTCTCCCTCTGCTACAATAGCCCCGCCCCAAACTCTCCCTCTGCTACAGTAGCCACACCCCAAACTCACAATCTGCTACAGTAGCCACACCCCAAACTCACAATCTGCTACAGTAGCCACACCCCAAACTCACAATCTGCTCCAGTAGCCACGCCCCAAACTCACAATCTGCTACAGTAGCCACGCCCCAAACTCTCCCTCTGCTACAGTAGCCACACCCCAAACTCACAATCTGCTACAGTAGCCACGCCCCAAACTCTCCCTCAGCTACAGTAGCCACGCCCCTAACTCTCAGTCTGCTACAGTAGCCACGCCCCAAACTCTCCCTCTGCAACAGTAGCCACGCCCCTAACTCTCAATCTGCTACAATAGCCACGCCCCAAACTCTCCCTCTGCTACAGTAGCCACACCCCAAACTCACAATCTGCTACAGTAGCCACACCCCAAACTCTCCCTCAGCTACAGTAGCCACGCCCCTAACTCTCAGTCTGCTACAGTAGCCACGCCCCAAACTCTCAGTCTGCTACAGTAGCCACGCCCCTAACTCTCCATCTGCTACAGTAGCCACGCCCCTAACTCTCAGTGTGCTACAGTAGCCACGCCCCTAACTCTCAGTCTGCTACAGTAGCCACGCCCCTAACTCTCAGTCTGCTACAGTAGCCACTCCCCTAACTCTCAGTCTGCTACAGTAGCCACACCCCTAACTCTCAGTCTGCTACAGTAGCCACACCCCTAACTCTCCATCTGCTACAGTAGCCATGCCCCTAACTCTCAGTCTGCTACAGTAGCCACGCCCCTAACTCTCAGTCTGCTACAGTAGCCACACCCCTAACTCTCAGTCTGCTACAGTAGCCACACCCCTAACTCTCAGTCTGCTACAGTAGCCACGCCCCTAACTCTCCATCTGCTACAGTAGCCACACCCCTAACTCTCAGTCTGCTACAGTAGCCACGCCCCTAACTCTCAGTCTGCTACAGTAGCCACACCCTTAACTCTCAGTCTGTTACAGTAGCCACGCCCCTAACTCTCCATCTGCTACAGTAGCCACACCCCTAACTCTCAGTCTGCTACAGTAGCCACACCCCTAACTCTCAGTCTGCTATAGTAGCCACACCCCTAACTCTCAGTCTGCTACAGTAGCCACACCCCTAACTCTCAGTCTGCTACAGTAGCCACGCCCCTAACTCTCAGTCTGCTACAGTAGCCACACCCCAAACTCTCCCTCTGCTACAGTAGCCACACCCCTAACTCTCAGTCTGCTACAGTAGCCACACCCCTAACTCTCAGTCTGCTACAGTAGCCACACCCCTAACTCTCAGTCTGCTACAGTAGCCATGCCCCTAACTCTCAGTCTGCTACAGTAGCCACGCCCCTAACTCTCAGTCTGCTACAGTAGCCACACCCCTAACTCTCAGTCTGCTACAGTAGCCACACCCCTAACTCTCAGTCTGCTACAGTAGCCACACCCCTAACTCTCAGTCTGCTACAGTAGCCACACCCCTAACTCTCAGTCTGCTACAGTAGCCACGCCCCTAACTCTCAGTCTGCTACAGTAGCCACTCCCCTAACTCTCAGTCTGCTACAGTAGCCACGCCCCTAACTCTCAGTCTGCTACAGTAGCCACTCCCCTAACTCTCAGTCTGCTACAGTAGCCACACCCCTAACTCTCAGTCTGCTACAGTAGCCACACCCCTAACTCTCAGTCTGCTACAGTAGCCACACCCCTAACTCTCAGTCTGCTACAGTAGCCACACCCCTAACTCTCAGTCTGCTACAGTAGCCACGCCCCTAACTCTCAGTCTGCTACAGTAGCCACGCCCCTAACTCTCAGTCTGCTACAGTAGCCACTCCCCCAACTATGTACAGGCAAGCAGAACATAAACACAACACGTTTTTCCATAGAAAACTATTATAAAGAAAATACTCAACATTAAGGCACTTTAAGTGTTTTCACGCTGTTTATAGTGATTGAAATACTGCAGCAGGGACTGTATATGGATCACAAGCGCCCAAAACTTGAATTTTGTTCACATATTGTAGTTTTTCACCTTTTGATATAGAAAACTGACCGGCCTGTGCTGCAGTTCTATGGATGTTTTGTTCTCCATGTCTCCGCACCAGTCCCGTGACTGACAACTATGAATTGTTGTTGTTAGTTCATAATGTCACCAAATGAAACGCTACTGCAGTGTTCCTGGGTTTCTCAGCAGTGACTCACGGTGTGTGATCGGGGAGGTTTGCTGGTGTGTTCAGCGCTGGTGTTCAGGGTGGAGTTGAGTGTGTCTCCGGGAAGAGCACAGCTGGGGCTTTGACTGATCCACAATCCTGGAGCCTCCGGCACAGGGCCCTCAGCAGGCTGCACACACACACACAAACACACACATATTTTTATCTGCTCTGCTCCTCAACCTAGTGCACAGACTACATAGGCTGCGTTTTAAGGCATCATGCGCATCAGACTCCAGAATATGACCAGTATGATAAAGAAACCTTTGGACAAATTCTAACTCAGTATCGCATCCATCCTTTATGGAGAAGTTGATCCCCGAATGCATTGAGTATCAATGTAAGTTTAGCATTTTTGACTAAAAAAATCAAAAAAAAAAAAACGTAAAATATTTCACTTCATCGGAATGGTACGAAAGTTGGTAAAGGTTTCGGCACTTGCTGTATGAACACACAAAAATATCACGAACATGATGTGAACAGGTTAAACGGTCCTGTAAGCAATAGTCACACTTGTGCTCCTCGCGGTCAGAAACGAGCGCATTGGAAATGAATGAGAGACGAGTTTCCTCTAGTGGAAGCGTTTGGAACTGCAGCCGAACAACATCTCACTGAAAGATCATTATCTTTAGATATCAACCTCAAATTTGGAACACAACTTGTTTAGATTTTTTGCCTTTGATTTTATTGCAGTTTTATAGTAAAATGTGATTTTGAAAATATATATATTTTATATAAAAATTGAAAATAGTATTTTTGTGCATTTTTCATAGCAATACACATAAAAGTCTGTTACTGTTTTCACTTCAGCAATAATCTGCCAAGCGTCGTATTTAATAAGAGATCAAACTTCAGTCTGTCGCTCTAAAGCATTCAAGATTTACAAGTTGGAAATTACATTTTCAGGTCTATGCTCAACAACTAAATAAACTAAATGGATTATAAATGTAGCGTAAATATAATTATGTATAAAAAATCCCCTAAAAATACAAAATATTAAATAAAAAACATTATCAAACTAAAATATAGTATATTAATTTAATAAAATAAAATAAAATGTGACTGACACACAAAGAGCACCAGAGGGTTAAACTGTTTCTTTTGTCATTATTATCCACAAATGCTGTATCATTGTCATTGTGAAAATACACAAATAAAATATTGGTTACACTTTATTTCGATAGTTCACTTTAGACTGAAAGCATGAGGTGTGTGTGTCACCTGGAATATGGAGAGAGACGGGTGTGTTGAGGGCTGTTCGGTGACCGTCACGCTGTTCTCCGGGGAATCACACTCCATGATGGTGAGGATCTTCAGCGCCGGCGCCGGGATGTGCAGGTGTGTGAGACGAGCTTTCTTCAGGTGATGGAAGTCTCCTTCTGTGAGTGTGTACCTGACAGAGAGAGAGAGGGCTGCACGATTAATCACAATTTACATGTAATCACACTTAAACTGATTTGGCTTATCACAATTATGAAATGGCAAAGGCTGTGATTATTAGTTATGTGCAGCTTGTCAGTGAAGCACGGCTCAGTAATCGCGGCTCACTCTGAAAGCACTGCGAGTCGCTTATAACGTGCATTTGAAAAAGCAACACGCGTCGAACATCTTTCCAAACATGAGAAGCATTTATGAACCTCTTGTCCAACAAAAGACAACATTTAATAACATGCTTTTACTCCAAACTCACTTCATAAGGAGAGGTGAGCTCGTCCTTCTGTGAGATGATGCGCTTCATTCACAGAATAAGGCAGTCGTGTGTTTATTACTCATGTTTAATCAAAGCGTTTCAATCTTCTGTTTATTCAGATACAGAGAGTGTGATGCTCATAGGGATTTAGGGACACACACACACACACACACACACACACACACACACACACATATATATATATACATACACACACACACACACACATATACTGTATATATACATATATATTATACACAAACGTTTATGTTAGATGTGATTAGGTTAGGTTTGATTTGACAGCCCTACCATAACTGACTTTTTGTCGATACTTTTTGAATAATTTCGACTTTTTATATAAATTTCGCCTCTAGTATTCTATTTTTATGTCATGATTATGACTTCGGATGCAGTGTTGGGTAAGTTAAAAAAGTTATTAGCTACTTATTAGACCTTCAAAGATTACTGTACTAATTACTCTCTCTAAAAGTAATGAATTACTTACTAATTACTGTCTAAATCCCATAATAACCTCGACCACAATAAAAGGATAGATGTGAAACTGCTCTTTTAATTCTTTTAAATAAAGAATATATACGTGCATAAATAATTTTTGAATTGACCAAAGTACTTGAAGTGAAAGGTTAAGGAACCGTGTCTGACCTTCGACCTTTCTCCTGGTCTTTGGCGCTCTGATCAAAGATGGCGGCCTCGTTGAAAGAGACCCGTCGCCCGGTGAGGGACGCGGACAGGAAGTGATCCGTGTTCGTATCGCCATGACAACCGGAAGTGGACAGCGAATCACCACTCTCGAGTCTGATGGTGATGTCTGAAGAAGATGAAGAAAAACCTCAATAATGCACATTGGTTTCTCTTTTCAGGAGTAAGTAGGTAAAATTTATTTATACAGCGCTTTTTACAGACAGGGTCACAAAGTGCTTTACAATAGACAATAAAACATAGTAGAAAAAAAGGATTTGGTCAATGATTTGATGTGAGTTCGCCCCAAGAAAAAAATCACCCCAAGGTTCCTTAGACTAGGCCGGACCGCAGATGACAAAGGCCCAATGTTCTGCATAATCGGAGGGATAGCGCTGTCTGGCGCTATAATTAAAACCTCCGTCTTCTGGGTTCAGCTGCAAAAAGCTTTAAGCCATCCAGTTGTTTATAACATCTATGCAATCTAGGAGCCTTGTAAGTTTAGATGACTCATTTTGCCGGAAGGTAAAATGAAGCTGAATGTCATCTGCGTAAAAGTGATAAGAGATGTTTAAATTACGAATAATCTGACCCAGAGGCAACATGTATAAAGTGAACCGTTTTAGGCCCAACACTGAACCCTGTGGAACACCACAAAACAGGGGTGATGATGCAGAGTCGGAATCCCCAATAAAGACATCATAACTTCTATCTGAGAGATAGGATGTAAACCAGTCTAGGGCCATTCCTGATATGCCCACCCATTCATGTAATCTCTTAACCATGATATGATGGTCGACTGTATCGAAGGCAGAACTGAGATCTAGAAGTACCAACATTGAGCATAGACCTGCGTCTGAAGCCATCTGAAGGTCATTACAGACTCTCACCAGGGCGGTCTCAGTAGAGTGTCTCTTCCTAAAACCCGACTGAAATTTGTCATACAGCTCCAAATTCTCAAAAACAGCTGTAAGTTTATTAGCCACAACAACGGCAACTTTGAAATGGGGCGATAGTTCTGCAAAACTGTTGGGTCCAAATTAGGCTGCTTTATTATAGGTTGGATAGTGGCATGTTTAAAGAAAGATGGGACACAGCCTGTGGCCAATGAAGAATTAACAATAGCCACTATACTAGGGCCAATGGCAGGAAGTGCTTTTAAGAATAATGAGTCATTAAGGAAAATAATGTTTTCATTAATGAAACAAAACTGACCAACATAATCTCCTCACTGCCGTGACTACATTAATTAATTATGAATTGTCTGTGAATGTATGAAAGCATGTTCCAGCACCTTGAGTCGGCTGACTCTCCTCTACGTATGTAGTGTTGGTTTTCTCCAGGTCATCACTGGCTCTGAACGTCAAACAAACACAAACAACATCATAATGTGAGAATATCAGCATCCGTTGCACTCAAGCATCTGAGATGTATTAATTGGTTTAAGTACGTGATAATGTACATCCAGCCGGTTGTTTTCCCAGAATAAACCCGACAGGGTGATCAGGGTCAGGTCTGCATCAGCCTGAGGGGGTTTATTCTGAGATAACACACACACACCTGAAGGGGTTTATTCTGAGATCACACACACACATTTCATTTTTTTTTCATTTCATTTATTTATTTATAAAGCACAATTAAAACAACATGGTGTTGACCAATGTGCTGTACAAAACACACAATAAAATTACATGATAAAATGTGTTTTCAGACAATACAACAACTAACAAATATTCATATACATACATACATTCATAACACACACACACACACACACCTGAAGGGGTTTATTCTGAGATAACACACACACACACACACACACACCTGAAGGGGTTTATTCTGAGATCACACACACACACACACCTGAAGGGGTTTATTCTGAGATCACACACACACACCTGAAGGGGTTTATTCTGAGATAACACACACACACACACACCTGAAGGGGTTTATTCTGAGATCACACACACACACCTGAAGGGGTTTATTCTGAGATCACACACACACACCTGAAGGGGTTTATTCTGAGATAACACACACACACACACACACCTGAAGGGGTTTATTCTGAGATCACACACACACACACACACACACACCTGAAGGGGTTTATTCTGAGATAACACACACACACCTGAAGAGGTTTATTCTGAGATAACACACACACACACTCACACACACCTGAAGGGGTTTATTCTGAGATAACACACACACACACACTCACACACACCTGAAGGGGTTTATTCTGAGATAACACACACACACACACACACACACACTCACACACACACACCTGAAGGGGTTTATTCTGAGATAACACACACACACACACTCACACACACACACCTGAAGGGGTTTATTCTGAGATAACATACACACACACACACCTGAAGGGGTTTATTCTGAGATAACACACACACCTGAAGGGGTTTATTCTGAGATAACACACACACACACACCTGAAGGGGTTTATTCTGAGATAACACACACACACACACACCTGAAGGGGTTTATTCTGAGATAACATACACACACACACCTGAAGGGGTTTATTCTGAGATAACACACACACCTGAAGGGGTTTATTCTGAGATAACACACACACACACACACACCTGAAGGGGTTTATTCTGAGATAACACACACACACACACACACACACACACCTGAAGGGGTTTATTCTGAGATAACAACCGGCTGGATGTACATTATCCCGCTTATTTTACGGATACTTGCCACATACGTACATAATTAGACACAAAATATTGATCTGAGTTGAAATATTTTATTAGGTCTTTAAACGCAGAGCTCCCGCGGAGAGATCAGTTGCAGCAGCGAGTTCAAACTAGACGGACATTTAAGAGATACGGTATACAGTCATACCACTTATTACACAGCATTTCAACACATAAATAATTATGAAGATCAGAGATATTGATTTCAGATTAAACTGTTTTAAAATCGTACCTGTTTGTATCTTATAATCCAACAGTGTTCAAAACAACAGTCATAAAATGGCCGCCGCTGCGTTTGTATGAAACAAGAGAGAGCGAGTCTGCGATACTGGATGACATAATTAAATAACTGTACACAAAATATTGATTTGACTGAGTTTTAATATTTTATTAGCTCACCAAAAGCAAAACTTCCACGCGGAGAACCGGTTCCTAGCGAGCGTATAGCGCTGCTGACTTCAGTGACCGGATGAGTCTGTGTTTCTGTTCTCTGTTGTTATCTGAGAATAATAAACTGCTGGACGGCGCTATTGACCAATCAGAATCAAGTATTCCACAGAGCCGTGTAATAAAGTTTGTTAACACACACACATACACACTATATGTGCCGATGAACAGGTTTGTCTAGTCCAGTATTTCCAGTGAAAAACATGACATTCGAGAGGATTGTGTGTCGATAGACCTGATATTGGGCGGAATAACGGCGTCTGTGCTCGTGAGTGTGAACGAATGGTGAGGCTTTCATGTTGTGTGAATGTTGACCTGGAGTATCGTCGTTCTCCTCGACAGCATCGGTGACAGAAGACCAGCAGAACGGACAGAACCATCAGCGTCCCGCCGGCGAACACACACACCATCACCAGCAGAAGCACGTAGTTCTCCTGAGAGCCCGACACCAGAGGAACGTCCTGAAACACAAACGCGTGTCAGTCTGAGATCAACGTCATGCTACACATATCAGTGCATTTCACAGAAACCTGGACTCAGAAACCCTCCAGAACAAACCGCAGTTCTGTCAGGACCACCATCGTCAAATACGATAAACAATTAGCATACAGTTTGGATCGCGGTGTGGTTCTGTTCTGGGCAGCCTAGCGTGGATAAGAGCAGCGATAACCCCCCTTAGGGTATACAGAACAGAACCAACATGAATGTATGCAGATATCATTGATTAATAAAGATTTGAATGTACAACATAATTGAGAATTTAGTCTGATTCGAAGGGGAATCCCAATGCTAAATCCTGACGGAGACAGGAGGAGCTGGGGAGGGAGGAGGGTAATCCTGACGGAGACAGGAGGAGCTGGGGAGGGAGAAGGGTAATCCTGACGGAGACAGGTGGAGCTGGAGAGGGTGGAGGGTAATCCTGACTGAGACAGGTGGAGCTGGAGAGGGAGGAGGGTAATCCTGACTGAGACAGGTGGAGCTGGGGAGGGAGGAGGGTAATCCTGACGGAGACAGGAGGAGCTGGAGAGGGAGGAGGGTAATCCTGACTGAGACAGGTGGAGCTGGGGAGGGAGGAGGGTAATCCTGACGGAGACAGGTGGAGCTGGGGAGGGAGGAGGGTAATCCTGACGGAGACAGGAGGAGCTGGAGAGGGAGGAGGGTAATCCTGACTGAGACAGGTGGAGCTGGAGAGGGAGGAGGGTAATCCTGACTGAGACAGGTGGAGCTGGGGAGGGAGGAGGGTAATCCTGACGGAGACAGGTGGAGCTGGAGAGGGTGGAGGGTAATCTTGACTGAGACAGGTGGAGCTGGGGAGGGAGGAGGGTAATCCTGACTGAGACAGGTGGAGCTGGGGAGGGAGGAGGGTAATCCTGACGGAGACAGGAGGAGCTGGAGAGGGAGGAGGGTAATCCTGACTGAGACAGGTGGAGCTGGGGAGGGAGGAGGGTAATCCTGACGGAGACAGGTGGAGCTGGGGAGGGAGGAGGGTAATCCTGACGGAGACAGGAGGAGCTGGAGAGGGAGGAGGGTAATCCTGACTGAGACAGGTGGAGCTGGAGAGGGAGGAGGGTAATCCTGACTGAGACAGGTGGAGCTGGGGAGGGAGGAGGGTAATCCTGACTGAGACAGGAGGAGCTGGGGAGGGAGGAGGGTAATCCTGACGGAGACAGGAGGAGCTGGAGAGGGAGGAGGGTAATCCTGACTGAGACAGGTGGAGCTGGGGAGGGAGGAGGGTAATCTTGACTGAGACAGGTGGAGCTGGGGAGGGAGGAGGGTAATCCTGACTGAGACAGGAGGAGCTGGAGAGGGAGGAGGGTAATCCTGACTGAGACAGGAGGAGCTGGGGAGGGAGGAGGGTAATCCTGACGGAGACAGGTGGAGCTGGGGAGGGAGGAGGGTAATCCTGACTGAGACAGGTGGAGCTGGGGAGGGAGGAGGGTAATCCTGACTGAGACAGGAGGAGCTGGAGAGGGAGGAGGGTAATCCTGACTGAGACAGGTGGAGCTGGGGAGGGAGGAGGGTAATCCTGACTGAGACAGGAGGAGCTGGGGAGGGAGGAGGGTAATCCTGACGGAGACAGGAGGAGCTGGAGAGGGAGGAGGGTAATCCTGACTGAGACAGGTGGAGCTGGGGAGGGAGGAGGGTAATCCTGACGGAGACAGGTGGAGCTGGGGAGGGAGGAGGGTAATCCTGACGGAGACAGGAGGAGCTGGAGAGGGAGGGGGGTAATCCTGACTGAGACAGGTGGAGCTGGGGAGGGAGGAGGGTAATCCTGACGGAGACAGGTGGAGCTGGAGAGGGAGGAGGGTAATCCTGACGGAGACAGGTGGAGCTGGGGAGGGAGGAGGGTAATCCTGACGGAGACAGGAGGAGCTGGAGAGGGAGGAGGGTAATCCTGACTGAGACAGGAGGAGCTGGGGAGGGAGGAGGGTAATCCTGACTGAGACAGGAGGAGCTGGGGAGGGAGGAGGGTAATCCTGACGGAGACAGGTGGAGCTGGAGAGGTAGGAGGGTAATCCTGACTGAGACAGGAGGAGCTGGGGAGGGAGGAGGGTAATCCTGACGGAGACAGGAGGAGCTGGGGAGGGAGGAGGGTAATCCTGACTGAGACAGGAGGAGCTGGAGAGGGAGGAGGGTAATCCTGACGGAGACAGGAGGAGCTGGGGAGGGAGGAGGGTAATCCTGACGGAGACAGGAGGAGCTGGGGAGGGAGGAGGGTAATCCTGACGGAGACAGGAGGAGCTGGAGAGGGAGGGGGGTAATCCTGACTGAGACAGGTGGAGCTGGAGAGGGAGGAGGGTAATCCTGACGGAGACAGGAGGAGCTGGGGAGGGAGGAGGGTAATCCTGACGGAGACAGGTGGAGCTGGAGAGGGAGGAGGGTAATCCTGACGGAGACAGGTGGAGCTGGGGAGAGAGGAGGGTAATCCTGACGGAGACAGGAGGAGCTGGAGAGGGAGGAGGGTAATCCTGACTGAGACAGGAGGAGCTGGGGAGGGAGGAGGGTAATCCTGACTGAGACAGGAGGAGCTGGGGAGGGAGGAGGGTAATCCTGACTGAGACAGGAGGAGCTGGGGAGGGAGGAGGGTAATCCTGCGGAGACAGGAGGAGCTGGGGAGGGAGGAGGGTAATCCTGACTGAGACAGGTGGAGCTGGAGAGGGAGGAGGGTAATCCTGACGGAGACAGGAGGAGCTGGGGAGGGAGGAACTGTGTAAATTTATTATTGAAGTTCTTCGATACCACATCAACAACTACTAGCCTACTAACTACTAACTACTAACAGTATTCAGGTACAGAAATTAAGAATTAAGCCTAAATGTAAAATAACACTATTTGTTCACTGTAGAAATTAAATATAGTTTCATCTTTGTTACAATTCTTAAAATAACAAAACGGATTAAATTTTAAATCTCTTAATAGAAAAAAACGGATTTATATTTAGAACACAACCAATTAATATTACAATCTCTTAATAGAACAAAACCGATTAATATTTAAATATTGTAATAGAACAAAACCAATTAATAGAACCAAAAAGCATTAATTTATTAGCTAATTAATAAGCATTAATTAAGATTAATCAGTAGCTTTTCTGATTTTTTTGTTTTTTGTAATTCTTTGCAACAGACACCTTCACTGAATCATCACTGTTGGTCTGAATACGGACTCTTAATGTCTTCTGGTGCCGCTTTACAGCTGAATATGAATTTGTCTCATATATTTGATGAAGTTTGCATCATTGATGCTGTTATTTTCCTGTGTATTACTGTGAAGCTGCTTTAGAAACGTTCCGCTAATGCTGTCAGATGAAAGGCATAATTCACCCCAAAATGATCATGCCATCGTTTACTCAACATCATATTGTTCAAACCTGCATGACTTGCTTTCTTCAGTGGAGCTGCGGCATAAAAAGCCTACAGGTTTGAATGACATGAGGACGAGTAAATGATTCATTTCATGGGTTGACTATCCCGGTTTACTACTCTAGAATACTGTAATAAACTGTAACTTCATTAAATATACATAATTGATCTGTCTGGTAACTGAATGTACGGGAGACGTCTGATAGTTCTCCAGTGTCTCAACAGTGCTGGATAATACAATTAACTGTGAGAGATGATTGATTAAGCGCTGGCCGACTGTACATAATCAAAAGTCTAATGAAAGATCTTCAGTTTGATTTCTGCGTCTCTCTGAATGCGAAACGAGGACATAGTGCGCTAAAATTAGAGACAGAATTAGGCCACTGAGGAGAGTGTGTGTGTGTGTGTGTGTGTGTGTGTGTGTGTGTGTGTGTGTATCTGATTTC